ACGTGAACACGGGATCGAAACTCGTGCTCTTGAGCTGTACATTTAACGTTAAATGTTGGCTATTCGCCCCGCGTTTCTCGATTACGATCAAGATCACGATCGCCGTATTTTCAGATAAAACTCGAAATCGGACGGCCGCGTTTGGTGCTAAATGCGATGCCGAACAAGGGTGCGAATACGCTAAGCTAAGCTAAGACACGATGGAAAATAGAGTCGACGATAGTTAGAATCTGCAATGGAGCACGGCGAGGATGCGCGCGGATGGGAAGGAACACGGTTCTGATTAGCATACAAACTACGCGCGGCCGTGTCGGTTCTCCGCGTTCTGATTGTGTGCGCGCAGTGTCGTAACCAAAATCATTGGCTCCCGATGGCTAGAACCTAGATTTGTAGCATCCATTTCGCCGAAATATCACACGAATTAATATATACGAATGACAGAGAGCAACATGATTCTATTTTCAAGTTGTTATCATAGAACGTTTTCAAATGTTTTCGAGAATAGCTGCGATTTTGCCTTTGATGATCTATTGAATACTATACTCGCACACAAATTCAATTATAAATAGCACACCTGCACAGAAAATTTCTTAGGATCTAATTGGAATCCGGTTCGATTTCCCAAAATAACGATGGATTTCGGTTGGGAAATCTTCATTGGTTCTGGTTCTAGTTAGAAGTTTAATGTTTCAAATATATGATTCTAAGTGAGAAACAAATGCTATTTGATCACTTGAAATTTTGACCCCTCTACTTTTTTTCAATGATTCTTTTGGTTTCCATTTTACACTACAAGATTGAACAAAATATACAAAACATTTTAAGTATTTACATTTTTGAGTCTTATATTACCAAGTATTCGCACGTTGTGCGCGCGCATTTAAGCATAATAACATAAAAAATGTAACTAAATATAAAATAAATATAAAAATAAAAATGAATATAAAAACATAACTAAATAAAAAAATATAACACAACCCGAAACACTTGAGATACTACACCGATGTAGTGGTCGATAACGCCCAAGCAATTGTGATAAACGTGCGAAAACAGAGTCACTATTGTCGCGTTAAGTTCACCAGAGTGCACACACCGACATAAAACTACGTCAGGTCGTGAATGCGAGGCATTGTATAGCCGAAAATTTTCTTTTCCTACTCTTTTCTCTCTCTCTCTCTCTCTCTTTTCGCTCCATCTCGTTCGTCGTCGTTGTCTCTCAATCGTCGATTTCAGGGCCAGAATTCATCACTCGATCATCAGATAGGACGACAAGGCGCGGATTCGCTGCTCATTAGTGGCGAGTTAATCGCAAGCTGATAGTCAATCAACCGATCTTGAGATCGTATGACGCAGACGGCCGGACGGAACTAGTTAGGCGAGAGGCATATTTGAGATTAGAGAGAAGCTCGCAGGGCAAATATTAACCGATATGATTGAACGCAGATCCGTATCTTCGTTCGTGTACCGCGAATCGCCATGTCTCCGTCCCGTACGGTGAAAGGATAACACCCGTTTTCGCAGCCGCAGGTGTGGGAGGAGTATCTTTAAAACAGATTTATATTTGATGAAAGATTTTTACACTTTACTTTTTTAAATTCATTAAGGCATGAAATGAGATTCCGCCGATTTTATCGATGGGAACGATGAAGAACTCCAAGTCGAAATTTTTACTCTATGTTAAATCTGTAATTCTACAACATAAAAGTTAATATAGCAAAATATAAAATCAATTTTCGTGGCATAATTTATTCCTATTTTGACCATGATGATGTCTGAAATTTCCGTTTTTGCTATTTTCAGCGTCAAAATAAATCGTTTAGAATACTCATATAAATATATTCATTTAATAATCGAAATATCGAGGGCACTTACAATTAATAATATTGACCGACGAGAAGTACTTTTGTAGTTACATACCGAAATCCTACATAAATAAATATATATAGAAGAATATAAAGAAAAGATTATAGAATATTATACATTAAGACTTCAAGTGGAGGAAACGAGAATAATTTTTCATTTGTAGTATCAAAAGGAGCACAATAGAAGACTTTTGAGGACTTAATGTAGAACTAAAGAGACTTGACGTAGAACTGAAATTTCGACTCGAATACACGCGATTTGCCGAGCACTCCGCGTACTCGATCTTTCGAACGTGCATGCGAAAGCCCGCGAATTATCAACTTTTCCGCGTGTCTCCTATTCGTCTTATCGGGCCGGCCCCATTTTTTATCGCGCGTTCAATCAACGCAGGACATCGGCGTCCGGTCGGAGCTCGTTCGCGCCTCTGTAAATCTCCCAAGTAAGCTACCGGTCGCCGGTAAATATATTTTCCCGTGTCCCGCGAATCCGCAAACCTCCCCGGCATGAGCTACGGTGTCACAAATTACCGGCGCGCTGTTCCGCTGTCGACGGTACGTAACAGCGCCTGGGCGCCCGCCCATCTCTGGAATGGCCTATTTCTGTCTAATTTAGGAACGGAATGTCAATTATATACCTGTTGTTCCGTTCTCGAGCGATCGTGAACCTCGTCGGAATCCTCTTAACGAAATGTTCGTTCGACGAATTCCCGAAACGTCGCGATTTAAAAGACGCCAGGAAGAACGTGAGAATCCCTAAAATCTTCGAACAAGAGTGAGACCGTGAAAAATGTTGGGTTAGTGTCGCCCTGAAATTGCGGGATTTACTGCAGCCACTTTTGTGTATACATGTGTGTGCATGTACGTTTGTGTATGTCTGTGCCGTAGATTCGCGCGCAGCATGAGGAACAAGAAGCACCGCTGTCGGTAGCAGGCTGTAGTACCGGAGCGAAGGCTTTGTTTTTGGCTAATTTAGGGCCCATTAGTGCACAGAGCGTCGTTCCAGCATCTCGGTCGCCGGCTGCTTGTGTGTGCGTCCTCCCCCTCCTCCACCCCGCCCTCCAAGATGACACAGATAAAAATCTCGAAAGGGATTTCAAACTGGGCAAGTAACCTACGCGCGCGTCACGGACGCGTTACCTCCTCGTCGGCGTGTTCGCTAATTGTAACATTACGGTCTTTTCTCTCGCAAGCGTAATACGCGAATCCGGCATCCTCCTTCTCGTTAATTACGAAGTCATCATCTAATCTCGAGCACCGCGACCTAGATCTCGGCGCGATATGCGAAGCAGAGAGCCACAGGCTGTCGGGAACACGGTTAGGTATTAATTAAAGTGGCAGTCTCTCCTCTCCTCTCTCTCTCTCTCTCTCGCCTTGTCTTCGAGCGTTCCATTTTCGGGTAATTTAGAATACGCTCAAGAGTAACGTTCTTCCTCCACGCTCAGCCTCTCTCGATCGTCACACTCGAGTCTCTGAGAGGCGGAGTAAAAAAACCGTTACGTCGTGGCTAATAAAAACTCGCGCTCGTGTAATCGGAAACGGAAATTTATTTGCTGTAATCGCGCGGACGTCATCGGCACAAAGTTGTTCTTTCAGATGATCGGTCTCGCGATACATTCCGCTCCCTAAAATGGAATCAGTGTATTGTCAGAGATAAAACAGCAAAAAAAATATAATCCGAATAAATATCAGTAAAGAGAAATACTGTAATAATATCAGTGAAAGATCTCACCGGGAGGATTAAGTTAAGCGTAATTCGCGGAATATTACAGATTTTGCGGTATAAATCTTAGTTTCGTCAGACAAAATTAATAAAGTGTAAGATTATATCTGAAATTTTGGCCTTATATTAAATTCCTTCAATTCTACAACACAGCAGGAAGTGTGTTAGTGAAGTTGACATATCATTTTGTGGAAAACTTATGAACTATTGAGAGTTCGGAATATTCTTAACAGTTTTATAGTACTTGATAAGTAAAACAAATATTTCTGGTCATTAAATGAAGAGACATCGATAGGACAAACTGAGACGCCAGGTTCAGACTGCGTCTTACTTCGTCTTACGTGAAATTTCTTGACATTTACTGCAAGATTTCCAAAGATTTACAGTTCTATATAAGTTTTAGAAAAGGTTCTGGCAATATAACGTAGCTTTCTCGTATTTTAAATAATTTTCATTGTCCAAAGAAGGTACTTACGCGGGTCTATTGATGGGATACCGCCGATTCTCGAGAGTTCTGAAGCATTCTAAAATAGTTCTCGTGTAGTTCTGAATTTAGATATCTTACAAAAAGTTTTGGCGATGCACTTTTTATCCAATGTTTTTTAAATCATTTCTGTCGCCCAGAAAATAGAGCGTCGAAGTGAATACAAATTAAAATTCGGGTAGGAAGGAGGACATATAAATATTTACTGAAAATCACTGATTATTCACTGATATCGGTGAAATATATTTTGCTGATCTAATCGGTGACGTTATCACACCGATTCGTTTCATATATATAGAGATATATGATATTTCGCACATCTCTCACAGCTGTGCGGTTAATTACAAATGAGTACGATCTCAGTAGGGAGAATGTTAGAATATCGATGAGCATCGGAACGCTTTAATCATCGACTACAATATCAGCGAGGTAACGTATCCTCCGTAGACCGAGGGGTTCCCTCGGTGCGAAGGTGCAGCGCATCCTCGTAGATCATCGTCCGCTACGAGGAGCCGGGACAACGACGAGGTCGCTGTCGGAAGCACGCTTAGACGCTAAAGCACTTCGCTTCCCTGTCGTCCTATTTTTTGGCTAATTTAGGAGCGACCGGTAACGCTCGACGCGCTCTCGCATTTTCGTTCCTCATTGACCGTCGCTCTTACATCTACCTCCCCCCTCCCCCAGTCCTCTCGCGTGCTCGTCCCTTTTTCTCATCCCGGCTTGTAAAGAGAACCTCGAACGACCGGCCCCTCGAATCCTTGAAATACGGTTACAACCCGGACGACCTCGGACGCTTCATGACGTCCTGGTTGAAATGAAACCGACGCTTTATTGCCGGAGCCGACCACCGACCGCTCGACGACCTCGCAGGAACTTTCACGTGCCTCGGACGCGCTTGAATTCGCGAAAACGGGAGAAAAGGAGATTTACTCACTTCCAGAAGACGACGGACACGATCGCGGCCATCAGCAGAAGGACCACTGCACAGGTAATGATCAGAGCGGTGCTCTGCAGCGATGGATTCGTGTGATAAGAAGCGTCGATCATCTGAAATGAGAAAAAGGGATATCGTTATATATATATACACGCATATCGGAATATCTTATTGGCTATCGTGAATATTTAAATGTCGATTTTCACGAAGGCATCGTCGCGCGGCAAGCTCGGCTAAGTGAAAAGACCATCCTCACTGCTCGTTATCGATCTTCGGCGAATATTTTACGTGCCGATGTGGAATATGCATCACGTGAGAATACAACACACAACGCTAAATCACACGTTATCCGTAAATATAATCCGTTCTTTGCGATGAAATAAGGCGATAACTCGGTCCGACGAGATCGGGAAATCGTACAAGCGGCTCCATCGACAGCGTGCTTTCGGAGTGAAATCTCACTTAAAAAGAGTAAGAGTGACCGCCGAATCACTTGAATTCCGAATGACTCTTCATTCGTACGGAATAAATTCTCTACTCTAAATCGTCGAGTGAATATTCCCACTCGAAATTGAAGAGTGAATCTGATGTACTTCACAGGGACACGGTCATTCCAATCGATTAATATACATTCGTTCGTATAGAGTCAAAATCTGTTTTAAAGCTAGCTCCACACTATACGGCAAATGTAGACGAACATAGGCGGTTGTATCGATCACGTATGTGGGGCGAATGTAACATACGTGATAATATAACAAATGTAGTATAATATAACATAATGTATAACATAAATAACATAATATAACATACGTGATCAATATAATTTCCAACGTTCGCCTAAATTTGCCACATCCTATGTGCAACCGGCTTAAGCTTGAGTGAAATATTTATTCTTGCTCTTTAAACGTTTTCAAGTGAAATCTCAATCGAAAAATAAGGTGATCGCCAAGTCACTCAAATTCGATAAACTTTTCACTCATATAGGACGAATATTTTCATTCAAAATTGAAGAATAAATCGAATGTATTCAAATGTCGCAGGAAGATGTTCATTTCAATCGATTGAAATATTCGCTCGTACGGAATCAGAACTCACTCTTGAGTGAAATAACTCACAGTTTAAGTGAAATCATCACTCTTGCTCTCTGAGTTTCTTGAAATAGAATTTCACTGAAAAGAAATGAAAAATGATTCGATTCGATCTTCCGGTGATTTTTCAGTCGTACAAAGTAAATACTCTGCTCTGAATCGCCGAATGAATATTTTCACTCAAAACTGAAGAGTGAATTTGATATATTCCACTGGTACTATATCTGTTACGGGAACAAATTCATTCTAATCGACTGAAAATTCACTCTTGTGATTTCGAATGGCAATATTTTCATTATCGCTTCGAATGAAAATATTATCACTTTTCACATATTTTGCGTGAGCTTCCACTTCAAGAAATTTAGGCACGTATTAATAATCATTCTTTGAAACTTGCTCCATAGTGAGATAATTGGATGTGAATTTCAGTTGAAATTAAATTTTTCAACTGAATATCGCAATTACAAATATAATGTCGCATATATTATATGACTCAAACGAAAAACTCAAATCTAATTCTAAATTCAGACCTCAGAGTCTCATATGAGACAAGTTTCAAGTAACGATTATCAATACACGAGTCTTGGAGAGCAAATTGTCAAATCTTGTCAACGACGTTATCGCGCCATTCGCAAATTCGAATTAATTACGGAGCACTCGCCGAGCAAATTTTGACAAGTGGTTGTCGTTAGCTTCGCAACCAATGGTAATCAACGGCGACTGATAATAAAAGCGCGATGGAAACTCCCTCGTTTTCCGGTGGAAAAGAGAGACTTGCAAAATACCGCGGCGTTTCGCGACGATATTACGTCGCAGCCGTCGCGGATAATACGAGGCGAATTAATCGCCGTAGAAACGGTTTCATTCGTTCATTCCGAGAGACCGGGTCGAGACAGCGCATGGCTTTGTATCGCCATCACCAACACGAAGATTCGCCCTTTGCCCTGAAGAGGAGGCCCCGGTCTTAGTCGCTCTCCGCGCGGACAAGGAGTCGCGACTTACGCAACTGCGCTTTTATTTCCGTACACACGTCGTCCCTTTATCACCGACGCATCTCTGCACGTGACATTTAATATGATAATAAAATATACGATAAATTAAGACAAACATTTTTGTGAATCGTTGGAGACATGTGAAATGTGTTAAATTTAACACAAAATGTTTTACTGTGTAGTAAGCAAGAAATAATAGTAGAAATATATATGTAAGGCTATTATCACCGATGTTATAGTAACACTTACTAGAAAAATGTTACTGCTGACCATAATTCTTTCACTTGTGTGATTACTGTTACAGATACAGAAATCTTTTCACAGTGTACAGAAATATATTTTCATCGTTTTTCCCGCTGCGCAAAATTTTCGTCTTGATCCCTATTGAGATGCATGAGCCGAAATTTTTGTCCCATGCGAACTCGAATGAAGAATTAATATTTTACAGATCTATATTCTTTTATTATAGCACGAGAGAGAAAAAGAAAACGGGGAGAGCGTTCCACGGTTTCGGCTAAGATACCATATTCCCTTCAGGTTCATCGATAATCTGGCTCGAGGCAGTTACAGGCGGCGGGAGAGTTGCGGAAGGTTCAACCCGGGGGAGAAGAGAAGAGGTCGATATGGATCCCTCATATCGATAACGACGAGAAATACCTCCGACCCTCATTTGCGTTTCTGCAAGGGAGGGTGCGCGCGAGGTGGGGAATTTCGCGGCCGAAATTCCTCGTTTCTCGAACTGGTATATTCGATATCGGCGCCGGAACGCCGGAAATTCGTATCGGAATCTCCACCCCCTTCCTCCATTGTGGCAGGATTCTTCATAAGAGGCACGTAGGTGTGCCGGGAAGTGCTCGGGCACACGTGCCCGGTATAACGAAGGCGAGGAAGGCAGAGGGCGGCCGCCGTCGCTGCCTCCTCCGCGTCATTACGTGGGCTGCTTGCGAAAAAGGGAAAGTGATTTTTACGGAGCGTGGGATCTCCTGGGGGCTGGAGAGGGTACTTTCGATCAGGCAGATAGGATTCGTCCCCAACGTCGATTTCTCGATACATCGATCGAGCAGCACTGTAACAACGAGACTCATTTTACCGCGCGATATCCCGAAGGCGAACACAGAGGCGCGTTGAGAGTTATCGAGCAGTCGAAGGGTTGATTAAATACGTATCGATAAGGGTAGTTTACATGCAAAAAAGAACGGTATACAATGCAGCGTGTGGAATTCGGTGAATATTAAAAGTATACGTTGTGTTTAGCGTCGCTGAGAAAAGCGATGTTCACAGAGAAGCACGTAAGATATGATCACCCGTATGAGAACCTGAGAGATATATCATAATTAATAATTTGTAATCTCACAATTACTAATTATATCTGATATGCCGGAGATAATTTTCCGTAAACAAATAAATAAATCAAATATATAGTATTTCTTCTCTCTCTGCAAGAAAGAAAAGCCGAAAGTAGGAAAGTATCAAAGTTTCGTCAAAATTATCCAAGTTTTCTCGGAAGAATCGAAGTTCACAATTGCCTCTTTCCGTGACGCCGATTGGTTTTCTCGCCGAACATCGCGCTTGCTTCGTAACGCAGTTGAGCAGCTGTCACTGCAGAGATCATATATCACGAAAGTTCGTGGATGAAATGGTTACTGCGAAGATTTCTCTAATAATTATATAAATCTACGCGCACACACACACACACACACACACACAAAACATCTAACTTATACATTTTGCAATTAAAATAGATATGTATATAGTATACGTGCGACAGGCATGAAAATATCGCAGACAAGTTAAATAATTACAGTGTTACAATGATCAGTCAAATAATGTCTGTGTATGTATGCCCTTTTAATAATTGGCCAATATATTTATTAGTGTAAAGATTTAAAACGCCTCGATGAGTGTGTCCCAACTCGAAAAACACGATGAGGAATATACAAGCGACGATGAGATACATTGTGCGGCGTGCTATTTGGAGGTGAGCCAAGGAAAGCAGCATTTATCAAAGCTCTCGCAAGCACGTGTGTAACACACGTGTATCTACGTACGTCAGCAATAGTATGTATGTGTACGAACGTGTTATAGCGCCTGTTTGCCTTCACAAGCTCTCTACTCTCAATATCCTCCTCTCTCTCTCTCTCTCTCTCTCTTCATTTCTGTCGTTCGCTTCCCGTTTTCTTTTTCCATGCATTTAAATTTTAATTAAAATTTGAATTGATATTAGAATTTGCTCGCTTGTATAGAGTGCTTTACGCTCACCTCTATAAAAGCTATATCCTCTAAATCTTATGTTGTTCGTTGTCAGATGTATATACCGCTTCTTTTTCCTCTGACACTTTTTCTAATAATTTCTGTTCCGTCTTATCTCTATGGTGAAAGAGGAAAATATGCCAATCATAATTACTCAATTCAGTCACGGATCATTAATTATAAATATAATTTTCTCGATGCATTTCCCTTGCAAGGGAAGAATTCTTCCCTCTTGTTCTTCGCGCTTTGGTCTTGTAACACGACACACTCCTACCCATTTATCCGTCTATCGATCTACCTATCTGGCTATTTATCTGTCTACTCATCCCTCTCTTTTTCACTTGCTCTTTCTCCACCTTTCTCTTTTATCCCCTGCATCATCCGAAAGCAGCTCCTTCTCTTGTGATCCGCTTCCACACGGAGTCTCATCGCTCATCATTACCAGGATATTAATGGCACCGGCTAATGGATTCAGCTGAGAGACCAGCGTCAGTAAAAGAATTTCCCTTCCCCTAAGTGATCGCCTCTCTTCATCTTCCTCCTTCCTCTTTTCACGACGCGGCATAATTCGGAAAATAAAAGCGATATCACGCGGTAATGTATCATCTTCACGTCGAGACGACGATAGTCTCGAGGCAAAGGCAGAAAAGTGACCTTTCGATCTCGAATTCTCGAAAATCAATCGCCAGATGACGGAGAAACATAGAAGGGCGCCGAGTGACGCGCGAAATAGAGAGGAATACCGCGATATGTCGATGTGTTACACAAGCCGGAATTTTCATA